TTGAATGGCACATTTTATTTTTTGTTCCTCCGTGGGAGAGTAGGTTTTTGATTTGAAAACTCGTGGAGTTGGAGAAGGCACGAGTCATTTTCCCACTTTTTCCTCTCACTTTAGGTGGGAAAGAGACAGACCAAAAAGCTGCTGCGACTCTCAGCTCCTCCATGTCTCGCTCATGTCAGTTGTGGGCTACCCTGCGTCACCCATCTTTGACTGTTAATGCCTCCTATGGAATCTAGCTAACCCTAAAAGCTGAGAGGTTCACCATATGACACTGACAGGCAGTCTCTGTGTTTCTAGTGTGATGTAGGGGTGTACTTCTGTTGAGTCAATCCGAATTTGTACATGCTTAATTCGATTAAACCTGATCCAACGGGTTAAAATAAAATAAAATTTTGCCAAGTCCAACCTGATCTCAACTTGATTATTTATTGAGTTGGGTTGTGTTGATTCATTGTTTGCCCATATCAACACAAATCTAATTCAATTTTTAGTCCAAATTCTCTCGTGCCTATATTTTTCATCCTGTTTCATATTATATAAGCTATGTATAAGTTTAGGGTGACTATAAATTAAAGTTTGTTGGTTTTTATTTGAACAATTAATAATAATGTTGATTTTATGTTTCTTTTGGCTGAAACTTTGTATTGATTCATTTTTCACCCATATCAACTCAAATCTAATTCATTTTTTAGTCCAAATTCTCTCGTGCCTATATTCTTCATCATGTTTCATATTATATAAGCTATGTATAAGTTTAGGATGATTATAAATTGAAGTTTATTGGTTTTTATTTGAACAATTAATAATAATGTTGATTTTATATTTCTTTTGGTTGAAACTTTGTATTTTATTATAATTATATTATAACTTTGCCTTGTTGAAACATTAGAAATGGTCTCTACACGATTTGGTTGAACTTTTGGACCACGGATCCCCTCCCGATCCATTATGTGAGGATCCTACGGATCCCCACATCTCAATTGTTCATTGTATATCATGCGGTCAGTTTTCGTCATGTACTATTTGTGTTTAATTTAAAATAATAAAAGTAAAATGATTTCTAACTGCACAATTCACAATGTACGGCTGAGATGTGGGGATCCCTAAAATCTTCACATAATAGATCCGTAGGGGATCTATGTTAGAACTTTTGTATAGAATGATGTGTAAAATTGAAATTTAACTAATATATTGGCATTGTTTGGTACAAAATTTGAACAATCTCGTAAAAGAAGGTTTTATAACACTGAACTCGATAAAGTTTAGCAAATCCGAACTCAATCTAAGTAAGCCTAAGCTCAATTTAAACTCAAACTCATATGAAACCCAAACCCAACTCAAATTCAAATTTTGAATATTGAGCTAAAGTTGGGATGACCATCTAATCCGTCAAACTCGCCTGAATTACACTCCTAGTGTGTGGTATTCACTATAAAACCACCCACAAAACCCATGACTTTTTTGTTATATGAGGGTCCCATTTTGCGTTAATCATGCATGGGCATCCACTGTAGAACAATTTTAGCCTCTCAAACTTCAGTCTTCGTTTGCATTTTTTTCTTAAAATCTTCCCCTTTGTTTTTTTTTTTTTTTGTTGATAAGGGGTAAATTTTCATTACTACCAACTTACATACAAAATCAAAGGTCTAAGAACACAATAAACACAAGCAAAAGATGGGCCACCACAACAACAACCCACCCAACAACAAAAAGAGAAGCAGGTGCCGTCGTCCTCAATCGAACTCCACGTGGAACCAATCCGTCGCCACCAATGGTAGAAAATCAGAAAGGAAGTCCATGGAACCACTGACAATAGTGTGAAGACCGACACACAGGTGGAAAGTGATGGTGCGAACACCGAGCTAAAACTCTACACGTCTTTTCGATAAAGTCGTTGAATATGGTGGAACAAGGTGGGAGCATATCAGATTCAAGGTGAAATCGCGAGAGAGTGATCCCAAGTAGGAGAGAAAGAAGATGAAAAGAGTGGATGCATGGTAGGGGAAAGATAGTGGGGAGAAGAAAATGGAGATCGGAAAAGGAAGTTTTTTGAATGGGGCAAGGAACGGTTAAAATGGGGCGGAAGGGCTGAGATACAGCGGGGGAAAGAATAAAAAAACAAAACGAAGGGGACTGCCACCGACCTTGGCCGAAGCTAAGGCTGGCGGCTGAACTGGAATCTGAAAATGAAAACACTCACACATAGTGAGATAACCTCTCACTCAAATAGAAAAGCTCTCACGGGGAGAGGAAAAAACCCGCTGATTTTAAAATCTTGCATTTAGAACTAAACTTTATCAAGGGGATATATTACTTGGTGAGGTCCATTAGGATTTTGGCCTTGAAAGAAAGAGGGTAGGGAACTTGTTACATATAAAAATAGGGCAAAAATGTATCAGTATCGTGTTTTCTAAATTCTTTTTGTATTCTTCGCCACGTGCGACAAAAAAATTTCGTTATATATAAGTTAATCTTATGCATACGGTTGATGCTGATGGCATGGAGCAACTTAATTTTAAGGTCATAGTACTCAAAACTCAAATATATCTCTCCCTTGAGTTACTCTTCATTATTTGTCTTTTTAGTTTAATCTCTATTAAAAGCTTGTTTAGAAGTACTTTTAAAATGACGAAAAATACTTTAAAGAAAATGTTTTTAAGTTCTAAAAGCACTTGAAGTACTTTATGCAAGAAGCACTATTTATGTGCTTCTTGTAGAAATCACTTCAAGTGTTTTTTCTAGATTCGCTTGTATTTTTACTATAGATCTGTTTCAAAAACATTCTGACCAAAAACGATTTAATCATATTAAAAGCACTTCCAAACAAGAGGTAAATCACCAAAAACCAACCCTTGATTTCTAATGTTGTGATATGCAAGGCAGTTAAAAGGGTCCCATTAACATTGATCATTCATAGCCATCCACACTAGAACAACTTAGTCTCTTAAACTTAATCTTAGTTTGCATTATCCTTTAGAAATTTGCATTTATAACTAACTTTTATAAATGGGGTAGTTTGCATTAACTTGATGAGGATCGATTTGGTCTCCAAAGAAGGGGCCCCAACGAATCATGTTACATGTAAAAGTAGCATAAAAGTTTACTTGTAAAGAGTTTCGTGTTTTTATTTTTGTTTTTCATCTCTCTTCACATACAGAAGAGAGCAAGTAACGCGTAAGTTATTTTGGTAAATGTAGACGTGTTGATGACATGCATATTGGCATGGACGAACCTAATTTTAAGTCCCAAGTGTTCTAAGCACAAATATTGTCCCTATAGCAGTTATATTGCTCTGGATATCAATTTGTCACCAGTTTGGGTAATGCGATTCATGATTCCACTTTCGAAAGAAACCCAACCCACTTTCTTTTCTTCTCAGTTTTTTACACAAAATTTGTAGATTAATTAATTGCTAAATTTTATTTTGTTTGTTGAAAAACTTAATTGCTAAATTGGAAGAGAACATGGACTCATTTTTAGGGGTTTAGTAGTCTATAGGTTGTGTTTATCTGCCTTAACTGCACAAAACAGTCCAAAAATATATAAAAAATAGAAAATAAAAAACCTGTACAAATGACACCTGTTTGTACCAACAAATAATAAGCTTTTGGTATTTTGAATACTCATTTTTAAAGGTTCAATAGCATTTTTTTTAACAAACAATATTAGCTACACTAAGAAGATGGAGAAGTAGGCTAAATCTCATAATGAGTTAGCAATAATGTAGTTCAAATTCACCTTTGGTGAGAATCAAAGCTAAGACCTCTCACTCATAAGTGAAAAGAAATACCACTAAATTGTAGTACTAAGTGGCAGGTCTAGCAGTATATTAGATGTGTTATTTGCTTAACTTCTAAAATATCCAAAATGCACGCTCCTTTGTTACCATCACGGCACAAAATAGTCAGAAATGACTTATGGTTTAGGAGAACACTTACCACCCCTCTATTTATCATTTTCTCATTGTTTTTAATAGGAAAACACCAATTCAAAATGTACGTCCAATATCGATTCAGTTATTGATGCTTAACTTATAATTTACTTTTGTAAATAATTGGAAATGGTGATCATTCATATGTATTAATCTTTTGTCCAATATTAATTGAAAAAGATGTTTAATCTTCCGTTGAACACTAGCTGATTCCAGAGCCAACAGAGAGTCAATTAATATGATATCGTCTAAGTTTACAGCTCATTTTATAGTCGTCCAGCCAAAGTAAACTCCACTTAAAAAGCCTGGAGAGCTGGCTTTATGGTGTTTTTTTTTACACCAACGGGGTGGGGGAGTAAGCTAAGCCTCACACTAGTTGGTCCTTGGTGGCACCTAGGCGGGCTAGGCGGCTCCTAGGTGGTTTTTATTTTTTTTTTAATTAATTGTGTGCTTTTTTCTCTTTTAGTTTCATGATGGTATACTTATGGAAATGATGTACCTAACTTGCAAAGCATGGATTGACTACAAGTTCATCCAATTGTGAAATGAATTGGAGCACTTTTGAGGGCATACATACAATGAAAAGAAATAAACTAGATACATCAAGATTAAATAATTTAGTTTATGTCCAATCCAATGCAAGGATCATGAACAAAAAGAATTTAGTATCATTTAAGAATACTTCTCATTATGATTATACGCTTACTGCTTTTTAAATATTGAACTTGTTGGATGGATGTATTTTGTGTATTCTTCTACTTCTATTTTTTCACTTTATCATTCTTTTATCATCCATACAAGGGTAATTTTTTTTTTTTTTTGAAGTGTAAATAGATACTTATTTACATGATATACTATAAAATTACATAAATCCACCGCCTAGTTGTTAGGCCCGACTAGCGCCTAGCGTTTTTAAGAACATTAGTACTAAATGGCAGTTTTGTGGAGTTGGGGAGAGTTGAAACCTGGTTCAAAAGAGCAGGGTGTGTAATGGATTTTGAAAGAAAATTGAGGAGAAAGCCCAACCCAACCCACTTAGGTTACAGGCCAAGGCCATATACTATTTGCTCACTCTCTCTCCTCTCTCCAGTTCCCTTTCTTTCGATTCATTCTTTCTTTAGGTTTTGAGAAGCAGAAAAGACCTAAACCCTCTCCGGCACTCATTTGCACGACAGCTTCAAAGTCCGAACCTCACTCCTCAGCCCTCTCAGCCTCTCAGGTACCTTCAAGTTCCACTATCCTCTCAGGTTCCTTCCAGCTGGAATATGTTGAATAATATTGCTGACTCTGTATGTCTGTGTGGAAGAATGACAAGGGTTTTGTTATCCTAACCCAAAATCTATTGGGTCATTGAAAAATCGTCAAATCTCGTTGCTTTTCAGGACATTTCTGTCTCAAACCAAAAAATTTGAACTGGGTTGAGGCTAAAAATTTGAATGTTATCAGTAATCGAATCTGCAGTTCTTAGTTCCATGAATCTGAATCAAAACTGTAGTCTTGCTTGCTTGTGGGAATGATTGGAAGGTGTTTGTGTCTTTTTTGAGTGATCTTGATATTTGCTAAACTGCAATGTCTTGTATGCAATAAAAAGAAAAAAAATTTGGTGAAAGATGAATTAATATTCGATATCTACTTACATTCTTTAACGAAATTAGAATGAATGGAACTGAATATCGTACTGTCTGTGTACTCTCTAGCGAATGTTACTATAGGTTACTGGCAAATTCCGTACTCGAACCTTACTTCGTATCTGGCAACTATGGTTCGAAGTATGAAAACATTTCGAAGATAGTTGTGACTGATATTGTCTTCAACCTTAAATGAAAGTAATGTTATTCAAGGTTTAAATTTTGGCGTTTGTTGTTCTGAGATAAATTCTTGGTTTCACCACTGTTTGCTTGGCTGTTGTTGAACCGGAACTTGTCCTTTCTCTCGAGCTGATGTCTTTGGTAGTGTTTTATAGGATGCATTGACGGTTTTAAGCATATTTGCTAATTGGTTTTAGTTTACTTTATTCAGTTATAGTGATAAAAAAGCAAAGAAAATGCCATTGGGACTAATATTAGGGTTAGGAAGGGCATTTCGTCGAAAGCGAACATCATCACTTGACATTCTTTCTTCCAAACGTGCCCCAAGGGATTACTACAAGGGGAAGAATTGCAAGCCGACTGGTTTCCACACCCGAAAAGGTTTGCCCATTTCCATTTTCGCAAATTTGACAATGTGCTCATTCAAAATTTTCAGGTAAAAATTACTGCTTGACATGTTTTGAAATTATCCAAAATTTTTTGCAGCTAAGTATGTCGTGCAGCAGGAGAAATTACCTAACTATGTAGTCCCTGATTTAACTGACTTCAAGGTGAACATCTTTCTATTTCTCTTTTGTTGTTTCTCTTTTCCCCAATTCTTCGGTAATGTTCATCTTTTAAGTTAGAGCTTCCAATTGGGAGTTCATGGATGCTCTGCAGCTCTGTTGACGTCTTCAACTATGCTGTTTTAATAAGGACGATTCTTGCATCCACCTTTTTGGGTGAACCCTCATGCCTATCTGTTTGGCATGGACCAATCTCATCTTGACATGTGTTCCCTTTTTCAAAAGAAAAAAAGAATCCTTGCCTTTGAGCCCAATTGTCATGCCATCTCCAGCTTCAGGTACTTCAGTTCTGAGCAAAGCAACACCGGAAGTTGGCGATGAAAAATTTGGGCAACACATTTAAAGCTTGTGTTCCATGTAAAATCAACATCTGATGTCGGTTTGCCCGGAGTTGAAGGTTGGCATGGCATGACTGCTGAGCTGAAAGGCAGGTATTCTTTTTCATTTATTTTTCAAAGGCTGACACATGTGACGGTAGGATTGGTCCATGTCAAAAGGGTGGCCACAAAAGTTCACCCAAGGCGTGGATGCAAGTAATGTCCTTCTAATAAAAACATTTAAGTTATAAGTGAACAGTTTACTCCTCACTCTTATGTATACATGTAGTTCTAAATTACCGTTTCCTTTCATGCGTGCAGCTCAAACCATATGTAACTCAGTGCCCCAGAGAGGTCAAGAATACTCAGTCTGCTGAACCAACTAAATGAGCAAACCGAGCGACTAGTGTTCAACTTTTTTGTTTATTGTTGTAATTGCGAATTAAGTCATTCATGTCGATATTATTTTGAGTAGGGTTTGATGTGAGACCGAGGAGGTCATGTTCGTGTTTGGCAGGTTCATTCCCTGGACATGTTCAAGTAATAAACCTTTCTTCTTCAGTTAAGCATTGCTTTGTATCGACTCAACTGTAACCTCACCGGACTCATTTCCATCACGGAGCCTGTGGTAACGGATTGATGTTCTAGGGTTAGCTAATTCATCTGTCACCATTTTGCTTCGCGTCAGAATCTGATCCAACTGTGTTAGTTTATTGGGTGAACAAGTGGGGAGAGATTAAAGAGTGAAAGTCTGAAACCATCATGTCTGTTTGCTTTCGTAAGAAGCACGTTGAGAGTTACTTGGAAGTGCTTTCTAAAGAAGCATATTTTTTTAAAATGTAGTTTTGTGACAAACATTTTCAAGTTGTTCTGCCAGTTGTAGGAAAACAAAAATGTTTCTAATTGTGAGAAAACGCTATTGGCAGAGCACTATCAGAAACGTTATGGTTTAGTACAATGCCAAAAAATTTGCCACGCAATAGAGACTAAAGCAAGCAAAGGCAGCCTGTTGGGTTTTTTTTGCCCTTTTAGGTTCAAAGTAGGTTGTGGCCGTCTCCACATTTTAATGGATTGTTGGAGGCGGTTAAGGCCAAGGATGATCACTGCCTACACCCTCTGCAAGTTATAATGTTACTTTACATTACAAGCCGTTTGAGAGCCTATAAAATTGGTTGTATTTTGTAAAATAAAGAGAGATTCTCGAGCGTCTGGTTGCGCTATATGCATTGTGTATCCACTTTGATTGAATAAATAAACAAAATTTGAGAATAAGATAAAAGTTCACATTTATACTGTTAAAACTGATTTTAATCTTCGAATTCTTCTCTTTAATTTTTTATTGGTGTGTCAATGCTGCCTAAATTTATAATGTGATTTGGAGTAATTTACGATTTCGGACATGATTATAGATATATTTTCCTCGGATTAGGGTTCATAATTCTGTCCCGCAACTGATGGAAACGATTAACGTAGATTGGATGACTAGTGAATGCTTATGAATTTTGATAATTGTTTATTTTGGATGATTGATCTTAGAGGTCCTAATTACGAATACTAGGTTTGGTAAGTGTGAACCAATGAGAAACATATATAATTAGCATATTCATTATGAATACTTCAGTATACTTGTCCCACAAGTAAATTATACACATCATATATACTAAAACCCGTAAGGGTTGGTCACTGTGGATGACCAGTGGATTTCCCATTTTGTCCTCGCCCATTCTTCTTTTATTTCAACTTTGCCCCTTTTGCTTTCTATATATACTAAAGTTCACGGATTGGCACTGTTCATTAACAGTGCCCACCCGGTTTAGTCCCTCGCCTGCTGAGCAATTTTTTGTCCTTTTCTAGAATTGTGCAGTGAGTTGGCCATTTTGTTCTTTCCGCTTTCTGGTGCCGTTCTCCATCATCCGCGGTTCTTTGCTTTTAAAAACCCAAACAATATTTTTATAATTTTTTTTCCTTTTTGGCGCCACAAACTCTGTGGCTGGATTTAACTCCTGACAACTATAATCATTTGTTTTGTCCTGCAGTCTATTTGTTTATCATTTTTTTGTCCAAAAACCAATGTGTTTATCCATGGGGTAAAACAATTGATGATTGTTTTGTTTATTATATATATATAATTGTTTTTCTCAAGAACTCCCTCACCGACTGTTGCAGCTCTCTCTCTGAAAGTGGATTTTCTTTTTTTATGCATGTTATTATTTTATTTCTCTCTCACTGTTTTTTTTTCATTCGAGAAAGAGGCAAGAGGAAAAGGGGGATGCCATTGCCATTGCCATTGTCTGGTGGTAGCAATGAAGGCCCATTCCTCGGAAAAGGGATAATAAATGCGAAGTGGCAGAGAAATATACATACATGTGTGTGTATATACTAATACTCAACAAGATGAAATTACTGTTCATTAACAGTAAGCGGACGAAATTGCCCTCCAATTCATTTGTTATCTGCCCATTTTTTCCTTTTTTTAACAGTAAAAAGACGACTTTGCCTTCCATCTCCACCTGTCGATCACTCTTCAGCTTCTGTCATTTTCAATGGCATAAATGCCCTCTGTTTCTTCTCCATTATGCCGTTTGTCCACGCGTCGATCATCGCTCCACATCGACTACTTCTCGACCTTTCTTCTCTACTTTTCCCTCCGTTCCACTTTTCTCTCTCACAATTCCCTGCTTCTGTCGCTCTTGAACCTCGATTCCTTTCGCTCTCCAAGGCTACCTTCTCTCCCTCTTCCACCGTGCGATCTTTGTCTCACAAGTTACCAACCGCACTTTCTTGCTAAAAAACCTTCACTGCTTTCTCTGTTGCTAGAGGTTGCTTTCTCTTCTGCTCTCGCAGGGCCTTCAGTTCTCACTTAGATTCCAGAGTAGAAGCCCAGAAAGCTAATATGGCAAAGCGAGAGCTTTCCAGCACTCTCAGGAACTTAAAAGATGAAAAGAAACGATAAAATTTTGGTTTTTTATTTATTGTGAGTGTTAATTTCTGATTAAATTATTATTTTTGATAAACCCTTTTAGAATCTGATCTAGGTTTTGCTTAAATTCATCTTGGTGTTGTTTAATTTTGAGTTATATAATTTTCTGGTGGACCTTTAATTGTATTTACAGATTAATACAACGTAATTGGGTTATTTTTTTAATTACTGTAGTTTATGCAAAGAGCAACTTAGAAAGAGGTGAAGAAAGAAGAAGATGTCAAACCATACCTTATCACCTCAGGTACCTTTTAGACCTATTGCATGTCAAAATCAGCTTCAAATTTGTGATTTAATATAATTGAATTTTAACAAGTTTTTAGTGATTTTGTAGAATTTTACGTTTAATAACCAAGTGGATTACTTTACTTGGTTGGACCTGTTTTTATAGCTATATTTCAACCTTTCCTCTGATAGCTTTTAACGATTGGATTTCTCGAGTCTACTTTCCATGCTTTGACCATTTCATTTGGCAGAGGGTTCTGGGTTTTGGAGAATTCTTCATTAAATTGGTGGGTTTGTAGAATTGTACCCTTATATTTCTGGGTTTGGTTTTATGTCAGTTTAATAAATTTTTTTAGGTTTTGCAGAATTTTTTGTGATTAAATTTCTGGCTTAAGTAGCGGTTTTTGAGGTTGTGGTCTCCAAAAAAAGGTAATTTTTACATTAATTCTGTGAAAATTTGTACATATCAATGTGTTAGAATATTTAAGGGAATTTAAAATAAAATATGGTATTGGTATTGGTGGGGACGATGTATGGGAATTTTTCAAGGATTATTGGAATCTCATGGTAAGGAGTGATGTAGAAACTTATAGCTGCAGCAGTTGATGCAGGTTTCCTTTCTATGAACCTGATTTTGGATGGGGAAAGCCACCATGGGTGACTTCAGGTACGGAGTTCAAGAATCTGATTGTGTTAATGGATACACGAGATGAAGATGGCATAGAAGTATCCTTGAATCTCAAGGAAGAAGACCTGGCCATATTTGAAAGCACTAAGGAGCTGCTTGAGTATGCATCTTTAAATCCAACTGTAATTTTGTTTAGTATTGTTGAACCTTTTATGATCTTTCATTGTTTTGTTTCTTGCTTCTGTTTTTCTTAGGTGTGTACTAAATTGGATGTTGGTTTGGTTGTTTCCAATCTTTCCCCACGACTTTCGATACCCAATAGAGAATATGAAAAACCCAACTTTAATTTTGTAAATTTATTGTCCTAAATGAAGGTAACATGGGAATTTGTTCTGAATGGTGTTCAAAGAACTTCAAACTCAACTTTGTCCTGAATGATGATCTGTTCTCTGGATGTCTAATATCAATTTTTTATCTGCTCAGAGTGATCTGATTTACATCTTTTGCTAGGGTGCTAATGTGCCTCCACCATTCAATTCATTTGAATCTACTGGTCTCCCATATGAGATTCAGAGGTATGGAATTATTCTTCTGTTTTTGTCTCTTTTGTGTAATCCTGGTAAAGTTACCTGAGTGTTTTGTGCAAAGTTATGTGATTGCTAGAGGTCCAATGTTGAGTTCCTCTTAACAATTGAGCCCTTTTTGTCACTATTCATATTGCAGGTTTTGAGCTTCCACAAATTTCAAGGCGTTCAAACTTTACTCTCGAATGAAATGGTAATTAAATTTCTTAAAATTATAGTTTATTACTATAAAAGATAAAGACTTATTTTCTCAGCATTGTAATCTATGTATGTTTACACGTTATCCAACTTGCTTCTACAAAATCAAAATACTTATATCCACCTACAAAATTCTGTTGAAGAAGTGAGATTTTTAAACTGCAGTTTTTCTTTAATTATTCACAAATGTATGTACAAGTTAACGAAAAAACATGTATGCTTTTTTGGTGAATTTAATTTGAATTGTTAAATTTTGGTAACAAAAAAACCTATGATAAATTAAAAGACTATCATTAAATAAGATTTTCTGCTCAGTGTACCTCTATATAGTTCTATTTGAACTCACATTTTTTTTTTTAATTTAAATTTTATTTCTCCGCATAGTCCGGAAAAATTCTGCTTTCCTAATCATTTCACACAATTTTGTTTAGTTTTAAAAGTTTTGCTATAATTTTCTCTGATGAAAGGACATTCTGTGACAAAAACCAGGATCAATTTGTTTGCAGCTTGAAGATTTTTACTTTCACCAAGTTTATCTTCAACTCCAGGTATTTTCTCCCATTGACAACTTAAAATCAACTGAACTGCACCTCTATACTTGCATAACTCTGTTTTTCTCTCCTCCTTAAATTCATATATGGAGATAGGAAGTTTAAGAATCTTTGTTCCTGCTAATAGGTTTAATAATAGTGACATTTGAATGATCTTTGTTTCCAGGAAAATGATTTTAAAGAATTGTAGCTGTGATTCAGAAAATAGTTAGATTTTTTAAAGCTGACACAGGTTTTTATGAATATCAGGCTTTGAAATACAATGTTGTTCTAGGCTGTCATCTAGATTCCCAATCACATGTTTCCACGGCGGTTTCAAAGAGGTCCTTGAGACGATCAGATGCTGTACTCAGCAGCCACCATTATAATAAGGTTAGGTGTTGAGGTTTTTCCTTAACTTATTTTTCTCTTGGAATATGAAACCCTATGTTTTTCCTGCATGTTGGTACATGTAAATAACACAATGGTTCATAATCTTTTATTTAGAGTTTAATAAATATGATAAAAGTGGATCATAATTTTTACAATAACCTAACATGGCTATTTTTGAAGGTAAGACCGAGCGTCATTCTCTTGGTCACTAGATGCCTTGAGAATTTATAGTCACTCACCCAACTTGGGATTTGAGTAATCATGAATAACTCGATTTTGTGTTACTATGTGATGCGGTGGTGAGAGGACTTTGGTATGGGAGGGAGGACTAGAGAGAGATGTTTAGATTTGAGAAGGGTAATTGGTATTGAAAATTGAGATGCCTATATACCATGGCAGGGTCGGTTCCAGCTTTTTCTTTTCCTTGGTATGCATTATTTGTCCGTTTCTTTTAATTTGTTAGTTTAATTTATTCCTGCAATTTTGTATGAACTATATGTGTGTAGTGATAGATTGTAAGGTGATTGAGATTTGTGCAGGTAATTACTATAAATACAAATGGATGGTGCATACAAATTACTATAACTTCAAGAAAAAACAAAACAGACCCAGATACCAATTCACTTCAGTCCTCAAACATCTCGATCCATTCCAGCTTTTTCTCTTCCTTGGTATGCATTATTCCTCCCTCTCTTCTCTTAATTTTTTCTTTTTGTTTAATTATTTCTGGAATGTTGGAACCTGAATTTCCAGAATTATTGTGATTTTGGAACCCTAATTTGGGATGCATGTAAATGAAAAGTCTTATATATTTGGTCTTTGCTTACAACCTCTCTCTGCTCTTTTTCTCTCTCTCTCCAAAACTCAATTTTGAAGTTGTCATGCATTTTTTTTTTTTTATTATCACTGTCACCTTTTGATTTGCCTTATGGTTTTATCATCGTACATCATTAGTTGACTACTGTCTTTGTTTTCTTCTGCAGCATGGAGAGCTGTACAAGGCACTTTCTGCAATTTATTGCAAAATAATGTCAGTTATCCCTTCTTTGGATACAACTCAAACTGGGAGCAAGTCTGGTATCCAAGCTTTACGTTCGTTGCATGTAGCACATGAAAAGTCTAAGAATGTAGTAAGCTTTATTTGGCAGGTATTCCCTCAATAGTTAAGGAAACAATTATTTTCCCCTTTCTGCTTTGAAGGAATAGAATTCTCTTTAGATGTTTAAATTTGTTTCATTCATGATGAGGTTGTGTATAAATTGCATTTGCATTTGTAACTCAGTTTTTGACTCGAACATTGTTTATAAAGATTGCAGGTGCATAATTTTTCATATAATTTTCAATCCCGCAGCAACGCGCGGGTGCAAATTCTAGTTAATACTAAAAATACAACATTTTTGAAGGGAGAAAGTTAGGCTCACACCTACCTAGAGGAATAGGTGCCTTGTGAAGCCTCAAATTTTGATAATAATCCAACAAATTAAATGAGATGAGAAGATAAAGGCCCTAAAATGTCTGTTAAACATTGTTGGTTAGCTAGATATAGATATGAAAATGATAAATGAACCCTGTTAGTAGGTATTTCAACAATTAAATCTTTTGTTAAGTAAATACATTTAAGGTTAATTGTAAGTGTGAAACGATTTAAAACATGTATCGATGATGCCATGAAATGTAAGTGACCGTATTCTTAGACGGATACATCCTGCAACTGCAAGAAACGACTTTATACATACATACATACATACATACATACATATATATTACATATATACGCATGCTCCACACTGTCCTTCACTATCATCACACAACTTAAAACATTGATCGAATCAGTTTTTTCCAAAGCTTAAGCAATTATGTCTAGCAAAGCATTTATTTTCTTCCTTGTCGTTGCTATGGCTGCAGGCACAGCCTTAACTTTCACACTGAAAATGAAGCCCATTCCCTTCCCCCAAAACCACACCCTTGTCCATGAAAAAAAAGTCGAGGTTTCCAAATCTCGCGCAGCGGCTATGGCCTTCTCCCTCCGCCATAGCACAACTGGGATAACGGCCCCCGTGAAGCGTTCATTCAGTGGCTTCTTCTACGTGGAGCTCTGGGTCGGGACCCCCCTGTTAAGGCCAACCTGGCCATTGACACAGGGAGCGACCTCACTTGGGTGCAATGCGCAGATTGCACCAAGTGCTTCCCCGTAGCTCTGCCAAATTTTGATGGGAAGAAATCGGCTACCTACAGAGCCATGTCTCCTCGTCATCCGCTCTGTCCCGATCCTCCTCCTTTGGGTCGTAACGACACCTGTTCGTACGAGGTTAGCTACTTTGGTGAACACATTGAGGAAGGGCAGAGCAGCAGCGGCCGTTTTGGATGGGACGTATTCACCTTCAAATCTGAAATTCGTGGGCAACAGAAGCAGCAACAACTAGTCACAAACGTTGCGTTTGGCTGCGGGATAATGAACCATATTGATACGGGACCTCAAGGTCCAGAAGGGAACCCGATCGCAGGGCTTCTAGGCCTAGCCTACGAGGCACCTAGTAACTTCTTGAAACAACTGAGGAATATCACCCTCGAAAGATTTTCTTATTGCCTTCCAATGGATGTTGAATCAGCAAATGAAACGCTGATACACTTTGGTAAAGCAGCACAAATTTCGGGTCCTAACGTGCAGACTACACCAATTTTGGGGCAGGGCGGATACCATGTGCAGTTGAAGGGTATCCGTTTGAATGGGAGACTGGTCCCAATAGATCCAAAGTTGTTCATGAAGCCAGTAAGTGAGACAGTTATTGATTCAGGAACACAACATAGCTTCATCACTGCCAAAGCCTATGTCATCCTCAAACGAGCTGTGATAAGTCACTTTCAAGACGCCTACAGATGGAACCCCTTGAACAACACTAGGAAACATGCAGGTTATGACTTGTGCTACGAGATACACAGAGGAGGAAGGTATAAGTTTCCAAAACTCACATTGCATTTCGAAAATGCATATATGGATTTGGATAGGCAAAGCACATTCAGAGAGTATATCCAAGAAAATCAATTCTGCATGACGATTCTTCCTCTGGATGACCATCTGCAGCTAAACGTACTCGGAGCTTATCAACAAGTAAATCACAGGTTTTTGTTTGATGTGGCTGATTTGAAATTATCCTTTACTGCTGAAAGTTGTTGATCACTAATAGTAGTATTAGTATCTATCTGACAAGTTTGTGTATCATGTCCATTTATTGGACTACATGATAAGTATTGCAAAAAAAGTTTAAGTGATCATCGATAACATATAACAACACCTTTAATTTCCTTTCCAGCGTTTTAAATTCCGTAGTTTCTTTGTTGGCAAATTAAACTTGATGGCTAATTGAGTAATGCGGAGAGCAGGGCTCCCGTCATTTGATCACCTGAACAAACTAATAGTTTGTATCGATGCATTATCGCTGAGGAGATTAATGGGTTATGGTGGTGTCTCAAGCTCTTTTGGACAATCAGAAAGTAGGAATGCGTTTGTTGATGGTCTTTATCTGTCAAGAAATAATCATCCCGGCGGTTAAAAACTGTCAACGAACGCATTCCCAACACTTCCTAACAAAGATTACAAGCTGCCACTCTATCTAGCCTGATTCAAAATCACAATAAGAGTCACATTATAACAAAACAGTTAAGAATTCGCACCCGCTAGTTTTCAAGCCTACAATATACCTCATTTAGCACTGACAGCAACTGATCAACGAATTTTGGTCATCAAACGTAGAGGTATACTGATTGCCTGCAGCATTGGCTCGGGGATCCATCTGCATCAATCATCGCCTTCCTCTGATATACCGAACCCAGATCGATCTTTATGATAGATTTGATATCATATTTGGCATGAAAACAAACTTACATCTACGGAAAACCAACCATCTTCAAAGAAAAAAAACCAAACTAAAGAAACGATATTTCACGTACAGCCTACCGCCTTAAAAGTAAACTAGTTCAATGTAACAGAGACCCAGAACTAGCCATTGAACTTGCATCAAGCTGAGAGTTGAGCTACACTCCAAAGAGCATGGCTTACGATTTACGAAACACAAGGTTCTTACCAAAGAAATATACTTACTTACCCCGGGTGCTAGCGCTTTCGCGCTAGGAGCATGACGAACCCCTCCAATGTGACGAAAAGAAGGAGAAACAATTCTAATGCCTAGAAATTGATTCTAATGCCTAAACCCTGAAAGAAGCAATGTGAACATCTACAAATCTGTCACTTGTCAGCGCACCCATTACTCAATATGGAAATCTAAGAGAACCTCATTAGAGTAATCCATCTAATTTTCCTCATCTTAGAATATTATGGCATTCTGTTAACCTAATCCCAAATTAAAACCCTTCAACTTCACAAATGCCTGAGATTTAAAATGAACCAATGACTCCGAAGAACATTACGTCGGCAAACATGCTCTTCTACAATTGAAGAAACCAGCCAAGAATTCATCCCATTTCAAAGTCTACTGAGATAAAAAGGAACTCACTACAGAACAAGCAATGTAAATATGAGATTCAAGTGCAGAGAAAATAGGTAAAAATTATTGAAAAGTAGAGAGAGAGAGAGAGAGAGAGAGAGTAGAGAGAAAAAGGAGCACCTTGAAGCAGATCGACCTCATGCCTTCCATGCATCTCACATACCAATATATACTATAGCAAGTGTCGAAATTAAGTGGGAACACCTGAAAGTGTAACCAAGTCCTCACGTGTGTAATGTTTGGTTCATCTTAGAAGATAGTTATCTATATACCATGTAAGCTCACTGGACTAGAACTGATATACCAAGTACGATTACGGGTACAAGATGTCCAAAGAGATAAATACAATCATTGGCAAATTAAGCCCCCGCAGTTGGAGCCGTATCTTTTCTCATCAGAAAATACTGCACCTTTCCATGTCCGTACCTAGTCTGCACTATGCTCATTAGGCAGGTGAAAACTAGCAGCAAGAGAACGGCTTATTTGTACTCTGTGTGTAAATTGTTTAGCCTATGGAGCAGTGTAATATATCCCAAACAGCTTTAAAATTCGTCCCTTCGTCGGCATCTGATAAAATTGAACTCGTGCAAAGAAGATTAGCGTGACCTTTGCAAAAGGACAACAGCATAAATCGAGAAATGTTTTTGAGGAGAAAAAATTCTGTTGCCGGGACTGAACCTAGGTATTTCGAGATAAATCGAGAAATGTTAATAGTCTTGAATTCTAACTATTCTTATTATTATTAAATGGATATGTTTCACACATAATAAATAACATAAATATGTAGTGTGAAACAAATGCATGAAATTTTTTATTGCATGTTTTATCAATTGAAGCCTGCGCATGCATCTGCATGCACAGTTTGACGAGGAATATTGAGGAAGAGCCAATCTGGCTTATCGGGCTAATTAAATTGTCATCCCTTAATATCAAAAGTGTACGCAGAAGTATTCGAAGATTAAGAATAAGGAATGTAACAGTTTTATTCTCTTTTATTCAACCGAAGTAGATGAGCATTAGCATATCAAGGCAATTCACATATTGCTCGATAGTCATATCATGCAGCACTCTTAGTCCTTTATTTTCTGAAAAGCGTACAATTTTAAAATCGTCTTCCAAGGATTGTATTTGTAAAAAAGAACAGCCTTATAATTTGCAGCTGAGGGCGTAGGCAGTGATTCATCCTTGGCCTTCACGATAAGTTCATAGTATTTACCTAATAAAAGCAATGCATCCCTGCCCGAAACCACGCGCTCAAACACCAGTTTCTTCTTGGCTTCCTTGTTATGCTGAGAGACCGAGAACTGCCCAAGTTTTATAATGTCTGGATCGGTGGTGTTTACGGCTCTATAGGCCCCCCGGGCCTCTTGTGGGCTGATGTCAGGGATGGTGACCGCAAAGGCGAGAGGAAGGATGACGAGCGCAACAAGTACGAGTAGGGAGCTGAGAGAACGCATCGCGACCTTGATTTGTTTTGGAGTGTTCCCTTTCTAATGTTATTTGAGTTGTTCAACTCTCTAGCTGGGTCCCCACCTGGTAGAGAGACTTGGTGCATGATTTATATAGCGGTGGTTTGGACATGGACAAACTAAGAAAGCAATCAAAGGATGAATTTGGTGAATTATTTTTCAGATTTTGATAATTAAGCAGATTTTTCCAAGTGCTTTATGGCTCTCATATATCATGGACTCATTAATATTTTCTTCAAATGATTTTGAACACCTTTCCATATATCAATAAAGAAGGAAAAAAAAAAAAAAAAAAAAGGAACGGCTCTACATGAATGTCACCGGAAATTTGTATGTTTCACCAAGTGTGAACCGTTACGAAAAGATTAGTTCAATTCGTTTGAAAACTACAAAGCAGTACTTGTGCAATGTATCTTGTAATAACTATCCACAATTATAGCTTACCTAATTTGTTCTTCCTTTGGAGAAACAAACTCTAAAGCATTGTCAGGGCCGGCTCTGAGAATTTAGGATCCTAGGCGAGCCTTCGAAGTGGTGTCCTACTAAATTTCGATTCTTTGTACATTGATATGTATAAAAAAGAATTCGCTAAATACATGAAAAGTTCAGTTTCGACATCAAATATCATTAAAAATCAAAAGAAAAAAGATATACAAACATTTATCTAAATATTGCATCTCTCGTGTTTTTAGATATAAATATATTGATTAAGTTTACATACTCTAATTTTTCAACCAATTCTTTTGCAAATGATAAAATAGTTAGGGATAGTTCAGTATGAGATCCCAAATCTAAAATGGGATCTTGAATCCCAAACCAAAAATTTTTGGGACAGGAATTTGAAGACCATTCTATAACTGAAATTTAGGTATTCCCAATTCTCGAGATTCCCAAAATGTTATCGGTATTTTGGGATAGATTGTGATTGGATTTTGGGTTTTGGGTTTTGAGCTGAAATTTGAGATTTTTGGGCTATGGGCTAAAATTTGGGCTTTTGGCTTGAAATTTTGTTGTCCAATTTCATATCAATTGAAATTTGGGTTTTTTATCTTATACCAATTTGAATTTCATACCAATTGAAATACCAATTCATTCATATCAAGTCAAATTGACGTTCCAAAGTTCCAAAGAAATTAATTTCATACTTTTATTTCTAATGTAGTCTACTATCAAACTACTGAAATTCAACATTCAACATGCATGCAACCAAAATAAATATATATTTTCAGTTCGGTTCGAGATTCCCGAACCTTTGAATATGTAATCCCAATTCCCATACTGAAATGTTTGGGATCGGTTTGGTATAGATCCCAAAAATTTCACTATTATTGGTTTAGGAGTTTTACGTATGGGATTGAGATTTTTTTGGTTTGGTTTGGTTTGGGATTTTTGGAAATAATTTACAGCCCTAAAATAGTTAATCCATTCAATCTTTCTTGAAATATAGTTGATCGTCCTCTGCATATTATGAGGTTACTTTACATTACAAGCCTTTGAGAGGATTATAAAATTGGTCGTATTTCGTAAAAATAAAGGACTAAGGGCTAGTTTCGTATTGATATGCTTTTGAAAAAAATTGTTTTTGTGTATTGTGAAAATGAAAAGCTGTGAGATAAAGCAATTAAGGGTTTGAAAAAATACAATTGAAAAAAAATAACAAAAAAGTAATGTCAATGTGTTGAGTAAATTTTATGTAAAATTGTTGTGAATTGTAAAATGAACAAAACATATATGTTGCTTGATGAGGTATTATATGTTTATCTTAACTTTTATTTTAAAATATTTGACAAAAGAAGGAAAAAAAAAAAATTTGTACCTTTAATCGCCATATTGAAAATTACTAAAAATACAAAAGTTGTTGTGACCTAAAATTAGAGAGAGAAATAGAGTGTGCGATAGAGAGAAGATAGTGAAAGGTTTGAGGAATCTTGTGTGTCTTTATTTATAGAGGAAACTTGAAATAGGTCTAATTTTATAGCCCAATATTAGGATTAGTCCAATTTTTATTTACTTTTAACTTAGCTCAAATGACTAGGATTTCATGTCAGCAATTTTTCTGATTAGGTTGATTTTTTTTTGCATTGTTATTACTATTTTACCCTCATATAGCTTTTGCATGTTCTCCATATATTTCCCACGTTTTAAATTTTTATCAGCATTCAAATTCATTTTTCAGTAGTTTCCTTCATCTTTCTCCCCGATTTCTTGATAACAATTTTTGAATATGAATTTCCTATCAATCTATTTTTAAGGAAGGCTTAATCACTTTTAACTTTCTATACAAATTAGATGTGTTTTATACGTGCAGATTTCTTCAGGAGACCTATTCTCCAGGTACAATTTTATGTTTGTGTTTTTCCTTCGTGGTTTGGCGATACTCAACCTTCTCCGTCTATCTAAGGACTAAAACACAGCAAATTGAATGCCATTTAATTTTCAAGTCAGGTATATTATAATTGTTTTCTCCTTTATTGTTGTTTGCTGTGCGAATTTTTACATGAAGACTTTATCCTAATCCCCCTAATCCCTTTCTATCATCTCTCATTGATATGCTTCTTTCTCTTTTTATTCAAAAAAACCAATGCACAGAAGGTGTTTGATGTTATGCCTTTTTGAAAATTGTACTCTTTAATTTCCCGTAATCCATATATTCATGACTTTCATAGTTATATCTTTGGAAGAGTGTATAACGTTTGTGGGGTTGTAATACTGGATTTGGAAGACAAGATAGATTTAACGTGGTAATGGTGTGCGACTTGTACGAGCAAAGGCCTAACATGAAATTTCCCACCTTTTGCATATCCTACATCACACACTATTCCAGGACATAGGATATAGTAGAATTCAGTATATAATTGAACAAATGGCTTACGTTTAGAAGAAAAATATCCAACTAAGAATGTGAAGGGCCAGAAGAATTACAAATTTAACATTCTTCGCGCTCTTTAATCTGTAGGTTCTAGTGTTTGCGGGTTGCTCCTCAAGTATAGTTTGAACCCTCTACATAATAGGCATCAGATGAAAGTCAAGTCTACGAGAAAGAAGAGCATATACAATTTAAAAATAAAAACATAAATTTCAGCATTTTACCTTTACAGAACTTCCAAATTCCTCAAGTTTTTGCAGTAACGCTAGATCCCTATAATCCATTTCTGTCATCTCTCATTAATATGCTTCTTTCTCTTTTTATTCAAAAAAACCAATCATAGAAGGTGTTTGATGTTATGCCTCTTTGAAAATTGTACTCTTTAATTTCCAGTAATCCATATATTCATGACTTTCATATCTTTTTCAACCAATTACATTTATGTTTTATTCCACTATTTTATAATTGTTTAGTTATGGAAGGAGCTATCATTGCGAAGTGCACTTTTGAGAACAAGACCCTTTTAATCCCAGTATTTAATCATACTAATTTCAAGGACATTGCTGAACAAATTTGTTCCCGATTTGGGGGATTAAGTCCTAAAGTCGTGGAGTTGACGTACTCTCTAGGAGAACACCAATCTTGTTTGCTGCAATTAACATGGATGTGAGTGTAATGAAATTTTCATGTTGTGCTGAAAACATAGCATCTATTCTATCAGTGTTTCCATGGTTGAACCAGTTGAGCAACTTGATCCCATTTCTTCCCCACATGATAAACAAATTTTTACATATGAATCCTCGGATGGTTGTGCAAATTTAGGGAAGTTTGCCACTCCTCATGGGAAGACATATTTGTCCCATCCGTGGAGATACTACATTAGCCATGTTGGTCAAGAATTTCTAGGTGGCGTCAAGGAGTTCAGACAAAGATTGATGAAGTATGAAGTTGAAAAGGGTTTCAGGTATGTCAATGTAAGAAATGATAGTGAACGTGTTACTGCTGAATGCTTCAATAAAGATGATGAGGGTTGTGTTTGGCATGTGCATTCCATTTTGAATCGTCCTAGCAGGTTATTCTACATTAAAAGTATGAATAATGTACATACATGTAAAGCTAGGTTTCGTGATCAAAAAAGCATCAAGATGGGTTCCAAAATTGTGGCATCGGTCCTTGTTGACGAGATTCGAACCAACAATGTACAAACTAGTATTATTTCCACTTGTACTGAAAAACTATGTCAAGCAAAAATATAAACAAACCAGTCGCACAAAATCACCCTCATGCAGCTACTATGCAACTTAACAACTCTCAAAATCCTTTCTTCCAATATCTTCTTACTTATATCTTTGACATCTGCAAGACATCTCTCATAAAAGCCTGTAAACGCATTTTTTCTTTTCCTACTATTCAGGTTGATCTCTTCCCCTTCATCAGGCAACCCAAAAATCTCAGCTATATCATTGGCAGTTATTGTTGCAATTATTCCACCAAAACAAATGCTTTTTGTACTGGGTCATAGCACTTCATTATAGACACAATATTCACATCACATTTCCTGCAAATACCATCAATGATCAAGTTCTTGTGGTACACTTTGAACAACCTCCTAAATGGTATACGATTCATTAACTCAAGATGTGCATTTGTCACACTAAATCTCATTTCTTCCATAATGCAACAAAACTTCAAAAGATCAGACCTGTACTCCATGCTTATCTTTTTTTTTTTTTTTTTTTTTTTTCCTCCATGCAAAACATATTCGGCTACAAGTAATACAAAGTCTACTATAAGCATGATTATTCCAAAACATACTAAATAACGCCCAAATGATAACATATCAAGCCAAACTACATATCATATTTATATAAGTAATGTTAAAAAGAGACTAATTTAACAATATGAACTAATTATCCTAAAAGTAACTCTACAAGATAAACGACGTATCAATTTAAACTACCAATTATTAAAGATCCAAATGCTAAAACACCAATTATTAAAGATGAACTGTAGTACCTGTAATCTAGGTATCAAACACCACAAACGTAAAAAGCCAAAGCAACATACCAATAAACTAGAGAAACAAATTGAACTAATCATCATCCCACATTTCACATGCATA